GGTAGGGTCTCCCTCTCATCCTGTTATGTTTCAGGCCAGAAGTCATTAGAAAATCCCAAAAACCTCAATTTAAGGGAGGAAAGGTGAGAATCAATACATATTATTGATTTTCTTATTGTTGTTGATGGAGTTTGTACTTCAGTCTTTTCATAATGTAACTGTGATCTTCAAACCCAGAGAGCAGGAAGTTAAAAGCCAAACAGGAAGCTGTGAAGGTCAGCTGATCAGCTACTTCCTGTCAGCAGGGAGCTCAGTACCGAGCCACACTCCTGGAACACCAGGCTGGACCTGGAACACCAGGCTGGACCTGGAACACCAGGTGACCTTATGAGCCCTAAAGCACATTTTAAATAAAATATATAATTATAATACTCATACTGCTTCAAACAAGGACGTTGCCATGGTTACTGCTTCACGTGGCGACAGACTTCCAGGTATTTATAATAATTTACATTAATATGTATTTATGGGAGCAGCAGCTGCTGTTTCCTGTAAATTAGGATTAATAAAGGAAACGTGCAGCTTTATGCATCACGTTTTTGTTAAGCCACCTCACTGACAGGTCAAAGGTCACCTGATTGACCAAAGGGAATATTTATACTTTTATTCATATATTTATTAATCCTCGTCTTATTTTGACATGGATGCTGCAGAGCCGTTTTTGTTCAATGTTTAATACAATCCTCATCCTTATTTTTCAAAATCTGTATGTTAATAATCAATAGCAACTAAATAAAATGCAACAAAAAACACAAATTTGTTTTGATTTTTTAAAAACATTTTTGTAAATATAAAAAAGTTACACAGGCCTTCTGAACCACAAAACATTTATTTTGAGTTGGCAAAACTTTTCAGTTACAGAAACGTGACAAAATGTAACAAATGCGAAAATAAATAAATGTTTTTCTTGAATCAGAGACGATATTTGCTGCAGCTGTGGAAGTCCTTGTGGCAGTTCCTGTCCACGATGACACACAGAGGCAGGCTGCACGCCGCACACATGAAGGGAGTAGATTTTGAACAAAGTCTGCACCTCCTGCGCCCCTTGGTCGCCTTGTTTTGACCAGATGCCCCCTCAACGATTGCAACAGGCAGGTGCAGGTTGCTGCTGCTCAGGGCTGATGGTGAGCCTTCTCCACACAGCTGGGCGGTCAGCTGCTCCTGAAAGGCCTGCAGCGTCAGCGCCTGCTGCCCCCGCTGGCCACACAGCTCTCTGTGAAGCAGGTAGCTGTTTGTAACGGCCACATCAATGAGATGCTGCAGGACCACCACGTACCATTTTCTGCCCCTTTGCCACGAGGCAGAGCCGATCAGCTGGTCCGACCGGCCCACTGCCCCCGTGAAGCGGTTGTAGTCTTTGACAGCCGCCGGCACTGGAACCTCCAGAACGCCGTGCTTTCCTCCAGCCCTGCTCACTCGTCTGACGGCGTCTCCAGAAAAGGCCGTATGCAGGGTGGAGCACACGCTCACCTCCCTCGCATCCATCCACTTGATGAAAAGGAGAGGTCCCTCTCTGATCCATCTGATAGAGCCTCGAGGCGACCGTTTTGTCAGGGCGTTGACCTTCGTCTTTGGGGCACCGACTCTGGTGTTCCTGAATGTCCCACACGCTCCAAAGCCCAGCTCATGAAGGCGGCTGAACAGCGCCGGGCTGGTGTAAAAGCTGTCACAGTAAATGTGATACCCAGACCCCAGGAAGGCTTTATTGGACAGAGACATGACGGCGTCGAAGGACAGCCCGCTTCCAGACGCCTGACTGGACCCGCCGGTGTAAACCTGGAAATCGACCGTGTAGCCGGTGGAGTCGCACAGCACAAAAAGTTTGATTCCCCACGTTGCTGGTTTGCCTTTTATATGTTGCTTCAGGCCAAGTTTTGCTTTGGTGGCTACCATCCGCTCACCAACACAGAGGTTTTGCTGGGGGTGGTACACCGCTTTGCAGGCAACCCGCAAACTGTCGTAGAGGGGGCGGAGCCTGTGCAGGCAGTCGTACTCGGGGCTGCCTTTCTTTCTGTCGTTGACGGCATCATCCTCTGGGTCACTCATGTGAACGTTGGCCGTGACGCTCAGGAACCGATCTCTGGACATTACTCTGGACGGATGTGAAAGCTGAAATATTGTGGCGGTTCTCCAGAAATCTCTGACTTTTGGTCGTTTCAGAAGCCGCATGTACAGCGCCAGCCCGATATACTGATACATTTCCCTTTCTGTGACGTTGGTCCAGTTACGGGTTCTACCGGCAGATAAACGTTTTGCTGCATTTTTGTTGGTGTTTACACAGAGAGTTTTGATGGCAGCCTGGTTGAAATACAGTTTGAAAAGCTCTGCTGGACTTGGACAACGGTCACCATGTGAGAGTGGAGGCTGCACACCGGGCCTCCTGCTGGGGAGGAAACGCGGCGCAGGAAGTGGCAAACGGTCGGATTCCTGCTCCGTTTTCCAGCCGACTTCCTGACCCAAGTGGATGTCTGACCTGGAGCGCTTTCCGTTACTTGGTGAAAGACTCTGCAGACCGTTTCTCCCTCGACCTCCATCCTCAACAGAAGGTACAAGAGCATCTTCATCCTTTTTCTCCTCATCCTCCGTCTCCTCCACATCGTCACCAGCACTGCACACAGAAGTTACAGATCAGTTCGGCTTTCAGTCTGAAAGGAATGACATAAAACAATCGCATGTTATATTCACACATATACATATTAGAGATGTACCGATCAGGTTTTTTCCTGCTGATTCTGATCACATAATAATTGTTTTAATCATAAACACTACCGGAACAAAGGAACCATGAATTCACCTTAATTTAGACAAAAATTTGTTTTTAATAACTTTTCCAAGAAGAAAACTACACAAAACAGGCATTGTGCAAATTGTACTGCTATCGGCAATACTATCTTTAACAGACTGAAAACATATGAAGGCTCTGAAGAGGCTAAATAATGCAAAGAGCCTCATTCACTCAGTGGTTATAGATCCACATAGTTAGGATTTGTTGCTGCGCGTTTGCAGAGTGAAGGAAAGAGACGACCAGCTGCACAGGCAGGCTGGGAATGAGAAGCAGGTGATGATCGGTTTGTGTGATCGGCGATCAAACACTTTTTCACGAAAATCAGCCGATTATGATTGGTGGTCGATCGATCGGCACACCTCTAAAATATATATATATATATATCTCATATTTCCCGGACTATAAGTCGCAACCCCAAAGTTAAAAAAATAAATAAATAAAAATAAAAACTAGTAAACATACACATATAAGCCGCAGATTTCTCTGCCGCTCCAGGTTTTCCACAGCGATGCAGCAGCAGCAGAGGGGCGGACACCCAAAATCTGAGTCATAACAGGTCAATTGAATATCACATTTATTAGGGTTGAAAAAGAAAAAGTTACCAATTTTAGATTTAACTGAACTGATTACAGTAGTTTCCAAACGGTAACAGTAAAAGTGCTGATCAAACCAAACAGAAACGTTATCGATTGGTTCATTCATCTTCCTCCTGAAACCACTGCAGTCTTCTTCTTCTTCTTCAGTGCCAACCTCAGATCAGCTTCGTCACGTACCTTTTCTGTCTCTTTCTGTGTCGCCGTCATCCTGGGGTATTGCTGGCTCTGAAGCTGTGGTGCCCTCTTCACGTAGCAGTCCAGCTTTCGGTGGATTCATCCACTCTGCTCCACGCCGTTAGGATTCACCGGCAGACATCAGAAAATGACGCTCTTCGCATTTGGCCAGTTTTTGTGGAGGATTTATCCCCACTAGTCATCCAAGCCTCCCATTCACCCCTGAGTGCTGCTTTAAATGCTCAATTCCCACTGATGTCAAAGGGTTGCAAATACTTTGTTGTACCTCCAGGGAATCACAGCAGGAATTGAGTTGGTTCTCTTGATGGCTGCTTTCACCGAATCGGTGATGTGGGCCCTCATACTGTCCAAAACAAGCAGTGTTTTTTTCCAGTGAAAAAAATCCTCCTGGGCGCTTTCCGTAGCACTCCGTTAACCAGCCCTTCATCAGATTTTCTACCATCCACCCTTTCTGGTTGACTTTAACTACAATGTCCTTTGGGAGTTGGTCTTTTGGGATAGTTTAGCACTTAAAAATCACCATTGGGGGGAGCTTTTTCCAGAAGCACTGCAGCCCAGACACAGGTGAAATGAGTCCTCTCGTGTCCGGTGGTTTTCACCACAATGGATGATGCACCTGTCTTGTTTACAGTCTTGGTCAGAGGCATATCAAATGTCAATGGCACTTCATCCATATTTATTACGTTGTCTGGTCCGATGTTTCAACAAATTGTCTGAAATTTGTGAGTTTTTAGTCCGGGGGGATCTGCTGACAGAGTCGTCTGTGCCCTGATGGACAGGCTCTTTGTTCTCATCAATCTGAAACACCATGACGGCCCTCCATTAAAATGGTCAATATTCATTTGGAGAGCAATTCATTTGGTTTCAGGCGGATTTGCACGGTGGATACACCTCGGCCGCCTGCTCTCTGAGTATTTACCCAATCCTCAAGAACATCTTCAAGTTCAGGCCACCTGCTGTTATGTCCTCTGAAAGCTTTTCTCGTCTTTTGGCATTGAATGGGTTCTTCCTGCTGCC